TGCAGACCATACCAAGTTGGGGGTGGTACTGCAATCTATTACTCTAACCAACTATCTTGTATTAGCACTAATTGCTTTAGTGATGAATATGAGGAATACATTTTTGCTAATTTTACTGTAAAAAACCTCAAGACGCCTATAACAATCAGTGCCATATACCGGATACCCCACACAAACATCCCAAACTTCAGTGAGAATCTAAAGTCACTAATAACAAAAATGCAAATGAACAAGCACCACCTTCTCTTAGCTGGAGACTTCAACATCAACCTTGGCCTACCAGATGATCAGACTGTAACTGATTTCATCAACAATATGAACAACACACTCCTCATACCAACAATAACTAAACCAACCAGGCTCACTGAGACAAGTGCAACCATAATAGACCACATATGGACCAATATACTAACCCCCCTTAAATCAGGGATAATCACAGACAGCACTACTGACCACTACCCAACCTTCCTCTAAACAAACATTAGTAAGCCACCACTCGAATACAACAAAGTTTCATTTAGACTCCATGACAAGGCCTCAATAAGGAATTTCACAGCAGACCTAGAGACTGTTGACTGGCCTACAGAATTCTCCAATGCCAATGGTATTGACGATTGGACAGACATTTTTCTTAACAAAATACTTAGACTATACAACAAACATTGTCCTATAAAAACGAAACAGATCACGAATAAACGGCTTGGTTGCCCATGGCTAACCAGCAGCATTCTGAAATCCATTGATAAGAAACACCAATATGAAAAGCAATATAGACAGAGCTTAATACACAAAGATATTCTTAAACAATATTCAACAGTTCTCACCAAATTAATAAAGAAAGCCAAACAACTGTACTACTCCAGCAGATTCACTGACACAAGAGGAGATATAAAAAACCTGGAAAACACTTTCTCAGATTCTGGGGACCCACAAACTGAAAAAACCAAGAATATTGTTCTAACTAAACCTCATGAAACACCACTGCATCCCACTGATACAGCTAACAAGATAAACGACTTCTTCTCAAACATAGGATCTAATCTCGCCAGTAAAATCCCACGTACCAATGCCCGTGCCGGGGACTACCTAGATGGGAATTTCCCAAATTCCTTCTATCTTGTACCAACTGAGCCCATGAAAGTCACCGCGATCATAAAGTCACTTAAAAATAACTCGGGGAATCTGTCTCACGTCCCATTATTGTACAAGCGAACGGCCCATGTCCTTTTGCATGCTATTACATTACTTTTTAACAAGTCACTAGAAACTAGCACTTTCCCGACACTACTCAAGACAGCAAAGGCTACACCAATACATAAAGGTGGTGACCCTTCAAACGTAAACAACTATAGGCCAATATCAAACTTACCATTGATATCAAAAATCTTCAAGAAACTCATGCACAGGAGACTATATTCATTTATAACGTCACAAAACATACTCAACCCCTGCCAATTTGGATTCAGGAAAAATAAAAGCACTAATGATGCAATTATAAAAATGTTAAACCTGCTTTACACAGCATTGGAAATTAAGGAATATCCGCTAGGAATTTTTATTGACCTGAGAAAAGCATTTGAGACAGTAGACCATGGCATCCTATTCCACAAACTTGACCACTATGGTATAAGAGGCCATGTGCTTGCATATTTTAAATCCTACCTTTCTAATAGGTATCAGTATGTCACCATTAAAGACACAGCCTCATCAATATGGCCACTTGATACTGGAGTTCTGCAGGGAAGTGTCCTTGGACCGTTGCTCTTCCTCATTTACATCAGTGATTTTCCAAACATATCCCAACACCTGAAACCCATTCTCTTTGCTTACGACCCGACTTATGTCATCTCCCACCCTAATCTTGCCACCCTCAACACCATTGTTAACAAGGAGCTGCTCAAAATATCGACTTGGATGACAGCCAATAAACTTACACTTAACACTGGCAAAACCTACTACATTATGTTTGGTAGCAGAGCAGGTACTGCGCAACTTAACATTAAGATCGACAACACTCTAATTGCCAGACATAATGAGGGCAAATTCCTTGGCCTATACCTCGACAACAACCTAAATTTCAGCACCCATATCCAACACATACCAAAAAAAGTATCCAAAATGGTGGGGATCCTCTCCAAGATACGATACTACATGCCGCAAACTGCCCTTCTCACACTATACCATTCACTTATATATCCATACCTCACCTATGATATCTGTGCTTGGGTTCAACTGCAGTAACACACCTAAAGCCAATAATAACCCAACAAAAAGCCGCAGTAAGAATAATCACCAAATCCCATACCTGGCAACACCCCCCCCCCCACTCTTCATAGATCTAAACTTACTCCCTGTTCAGAACATCTACACTTATTACTGTGCAGTCTATAACTACAGGACCTTAAATTCCAATATTAACCTTGACCTAAAATGCTTTCTTGATAGTTGTGACAGGATCCACAGACATAACACCAGACACAAACATCTCTATGACATTCCCCATGTTCGACTAAACCTTTACAAAAATTCAATGTATTTCAAAGGGCCTAAAATCTGGAACACCCTACCTAAAAACTCTAGAACTGCAGACACATTCATCACTTTCAAAACTACAGTTAGAAAACATCTTATCTCCCTGATCCACCCAGACAACTAACTACATGATAACCACCTGGTGGTTCACAATTACACTCACTCACCCACTGACTATAAACCCAGAAATACTAATCTTAATCTTAAAATAATAAATCCTAACTAGTCATAAGTTTGCCTATGATACTCCAATATAGACACTTTGTATTGTGCCAAAACAAAAGCATTCACATTGCTAAACTCACAAATTATGTAGTCACTTAGCCTTAATACCATAACCTGTAAGGATTTAATGTTAAGAATTAATCTAAATCTGCTCGAAATGCCTAGCCAGGCTAGGTGTCCTAGTGGCACCCTCTGTAATTAGTATTTTATAACATGTAAACCACACAATACCCAAAACCTGTAAACCCCACATTGTAACCCTTATAGAGAATAAACTTGAAAGAGAGGAAGTACTCCCACTTTCTGAAAAGACGTTATTGCACTCCTCCGTTCTCTTAAAAGCATTCGGAGGAGCTGTATTTTCTGTCCCTTTACATACGATACATGTGCAGAGTATTATACAGGATATTTGACTGTAGGTATATCTGAGGGATTACCTATGAAAGATGCCATGTTATTGCTGGGTAATAACATTCTTAATTCAACAAAATGTTTAGAACCTATAGTGACTAATTCTTCTCCAATGTTGGCCATAACTCAGGCAAAATCCCAAGGAATGTTTATCGAGAATACTCACCCATCCTTAGACAACTCAGATCTAGGAATAAACAATTTGTTTTACGAGGAAAACTGGCCAGAGCTACATAAATTTAGTGAAAAGTCCCAGACCAAGTCTTCCTACTCCAGGGTTGCAGGATTGTCAGATATCTCTGTTTCCATGCCCGAGGAACTGACCTTTCACGAAGAACAGCGAAAAGATCCTTCCTTAAACTTCGCTTCTCAGGCAGCCATGAGTGAATCCCACTCAGATCACCCAGTCAAATATGAAATTAAACACAACTTACTGCTCTGCACAGAGACTCGCAGGGATGTAGAGGGAAGCCAAAAAATTAGATAGACTGGTAGTTCCTAAGAAATTTATGTCACAAATTTTGAACACAGCTCACAATTCCTCTTTAGAAAGTCATTTGGGAATTACAAAATCTCTGTATAGAATATTTTTTTATGGGCAAAAATAAAGCAAGATGTGAAGAATCCCATCCGCTCTTATAGGGAATGTCAACAGGTAAGTAAACCTGGACACCCCATTAAACCTGCGCCACTTCATCATCCCATACCTGCAGATGGAGAACAGTTTGCCGAGCTGATTATTGATTGTGTGTGACAATTACCGAAATCCAAGTCTGGGAACCAGTACCTATTCACTATCAGGGACAAAGCTACTAGGTATCCGGAAGCAGTCCCAGTGCACAGTATAAACACTAAAGCCATTCTTAAAGCCATAACTAAATTTATATCTTTGGCATTCCAAAGTCTATCAAGAATGACCAGGGTACTGACTTTACAGCCAAAGCTTTTAAGGAAGCTTTAAACTAGTCTAGGTATAATTTATAAATTATCCACTGCCTATCATCCTCAGTCCCACGACGCCTTGGAAAGATTTCATCAGATGTTAAAAACCATGATGAGAACCTTTTGCATGCATTTTCCTACAGACTGGGATGAATCACTTCATCTGTTGCTGTTCACAATGAGAGAAACTGTGCAGGAATCAACAGGGTATAGTCCATTTGAGCTAATTTTCAGGGGCATTGTACGAGGTCCGTGCTCAAGGAAGGTTGGATAGGAAGATGCCTGTCTTCTCCCATCCAACCTTCCATCCAAGCCTGTGCTTCAGACTCTTCACCAACTCCAAGGCTGAGGGACTGATGACCTCATCTTTTGTATAGTTCTACTATCTTCCAATTTTGTCTTTTGAATTTGTATTGATAAAGCCACTGGATGGTGAAACATCTACAATAAAGATACCCAGATGTTACACATGTGCACTAGTATTCGAGTGCCCCCTTCTCCCATAGGAGAGATTACCCTGTTCCCAAGTAATTTAAACTCGCTACACTCATCCCTCTGTTATCTATGCTGACTTTAATCTTGCTCAGTGCGCTAAGCAACTGGCCCTAAACTCTTGCGTGTTTTATTACCCTTCACTGTAGTCCGTCAGGTGCATCATGCTAGTTACATGTCCTTTATGTTATCGCTACGTGTTTTAAACTACCAGAACAATGTTCATTCTGCTGGTAGAAATGTTCTTGGTGGACCATCTGCTCATCATATTTATCAAAATGCTGCTCTTACAGGTCAACTTTCATGCATGCTGGCTCACTAGTTCTCTCTGCTGCTTCATCTGTTGTTCTACTCAAGGGTTAAGTACAATCCAAATCCGCTACCAAACACTACCTTACCTTGTAAGCCTGCTGCTGGAGCAGCTGATGTAATTATTGCATGAAGGTATCGGCCTGCTGTTCTGTCATTTATTCTGTCGTAAGACTTTCGGTTTCCGACTGTCATTTGTCTGCAATTGCTGCTGCTGCTGCTTCTCACTTGTCTTATCTCCTCCATCATCCACGTCAAGACAGCCAGGCTTACCTCCTGCTCTACCAAATCCAGGTTCTTGTTGAGGGCTCTTTCCTGCCGTTCAGACATCATTTTCTGTTACTGCAATCGTATTACTGACGCCACTGGAAGGTAGGAGGGTGTCTTGGGTAAAACACAACACTAAAAAAATAGGTTCGTTAACAGTCAGCCTTCAAGTGGTTTTCACATGGTACTTAACAAAACAGAGCACAAGCTTGGTAGTTGCTCACCTTCAAAACTTTCTTGGCTTAAAATATTTCAGTCTACCTCCTTCCATCTCTCTTTTAAGTCCTTTATTAGTTTACTAGCTTTTATCACCGTACATCTGTAACTGTTTCGCTTTCACATTCTCCTGGCTCTTCTGCCTTAAATACACCTGAGGCTTCGAAAACATTTGGGCATCAACCATATTTCCCTGGGATCTCACATACTACAACATAGTGACCAATGATAGACACATCATCTCTGCGTAACCAATAAGGACACACTCATGAATGACACTTGTCAGATTCTACCATACAACAAATGGTAAGTGAAAATGGACCGATATGGTTCACATTACTAATCTCATGCCATTCAGCAAAATATAACAATTTTTTAAATTGAGATATTACATTTTATTTTTTAGAACATGATATAACTGTGAATAATAATTATATTTTTTTTATTATTAACACATCGGCCGTTTCCCACTAAGGCAGGGTGGCCCGAAAAAGAAAAACTTTCATCATTCACTCCATTACTGTCTTGCCAGAAGGCGCGTTACACTACAATTTTTAAACTGCAACATTAACACCCCTCCTTCAGAGTGCAGACACTGTACTTCCCATCTCCAGGACTCAAGTCCGGCCTGCCGGTTTCCCTGAACCCCTTCATAAATGTTACTTTGCTCACACTCCAACAGCACGTCAAGTATTAAAAACCATTTGTCTCCATTCACTCCTATCAAACACGCTCACGCATGCCCTGGAAGTCCAAGCCCCTCGTTCACAAAACCTCCTTTAACCCCCTCCCTCCAACCTTTCCTAGGCCGACCCCTACCCCGCCTTCCTTCCACTACAGACTGATACACTCTTGAAGTCATTCTGTTTTGCTCCATTCTCTCTACATGTCCGAACCACCTCAACATCCCTTCCTCAGCCCTCTGGACAACAGTTTTGGTAATCCCGCACCTCCTCCTAACTTACAAACTACGAATTCTCTGCATTATATTCACACCACACATTGCCCTCAGACATGATATCTCCACTGCCTCCAGCCTTCTCCTCACTGCAACATTCATCACCCATGCTTCACACCCATACAAAAGCGTTGGTAAAACTATGCTCTCATACATTCCCCTCTTTGCCTCCAAGGACAAAGTTCTTTGTCTCCACAGACTTCTAAGTGCACCACTCACCCTTTTCCCCTCATCAATTCTATGATTCACCTCATCTTTCATAGACCCATCTGCTGACACGTCCACTCCCAAATATCTGAATACATTCACCTCCTCCATACTCTCTCCCTCCAATCTGATATCCAATCTTTCATCACCTAATCTTTTTGTTATCCTCATAACCTTACTCTTTCCTGTATTCACTTTTAATTTTCTCTTTGCATACCCTACCAAATTCATCCACCAATCTCTGCAACTTCTCTTCAGAATCTCCCAAGAGCACAGTGTCATCAGCAAAGAGCAACTGTGACAACTCCCACTTTATGTGTGATTCTTTATCTTTTAACTCCACGCCTCTTGCCAAGACCCTCGCATTTACTTCTCTTACAACCCCATCTATAAATATATTAAACAACCACGGTGACATCACACATCCTTGTCTAAAGCCTACTTTTACTGGGAAATAATTTCCCTCTTTCCTACATACTCTAACTTGAGCCTCACTATCCTCGTAAAAACTCTTTACTGCTTTCAGTAACCTACCTCCTACACCATACACCTGCAACATCTGCCACATTGCCCCCCTATCCACCCTGTCATACGCCTTTTCCAAATCCATAAATGCCACAAAGACCTCTTTAGCCTTCTCTAAATGCTGTTCACTTATGTGTTTCACTGTAAACACCTGGTCCACACACTCCCTACCTTTCCTAAAGCCTCCTTGTTCATCTGCTATCCTATTCTCCGTCTTACTCTTAATTCTTTCAATAATAACTCTACCATACACTTTACCAGGTATACTCAACAAACTTATCCCCCTATATTTTTTGCATTCTCTTTTGTCCCCTTTGCCTTTATACAAAGGAACTATGCATGCTCTCTGCCAATCCCTAGGTACCTTACCTTCTTCCATACATTTATTAAATAATTGCACCAACCACTCCAAAACTATATCCCCACCTGCTTTTAACATTTCTATCTTTATCCCATCAATCCCGGCTGCCTTACCCCCTTTCATTTTACCTACTGCCTCACGAACTTCCCCCCCACTCACAACTGGCTCTTCCTCACTCCTACAAGATGTTATTCCTCCTTGCCCTATACACGAAATCACAGCTTCTCTATCTTCATCAACATTTAACAGTTTCTCAAAATATTCCCTCCATCTTCCCAATACCTCTAACTCTCCATTTAATAACTCTCTTCTCCTATTTTTAACAATCAAATCCACAATATTACTGAAATAGCATGACGAGATACAAATTGTGATTTGCGACACCGAATTCTCATCCAAAACACGCAATGGAGTCTGGCAAAGAAAGCAAAAAAGAAAGTAGAAACAGGTTTTTAGTTGTATAATCGAAGTAAAAGTGACATATGAATCTGCCTCCAACAATTTACATGCAACAGCAGAAATCACAATATTAAAGTTGAAAATATAAGAATTTCCTAATACACACACACACACACACACACACACACACACACACACACACACACACACACCTTTAAGGAGACAGGTAGGTATCATTAAACTACAGACCAGTGTCATTGACATGTACAGTATGCAAAGTCATAGAGAAGTTCATCCGGTAGAGACTGGTGGAATACCTAGAAAGGAATGAGCTTATACACGATAACCAGCACGGTTTCAGAGAGGCAAAATCCTGTGTCACAAACCTACTGGAGTTTTACGACATGGTGACAGAAGTAAGGCAGGGGAGAGAGGGATGGGTAGACTGTAGTTTCTTGCACTGTAAGAAGGCTTTCGACACAGTTCCGCACAAGCGAGTACTGAAAAAGCTAGAAAAGATGGCAGGAATAATAGGAAAGGCACTGCAATGCATCAGAGAATACCTGTCAGGAAGGAAACGAGTGATTATACGTGACGAGGTGTCAGAGTGGGTGTCTGTGACGAGTGGGGTTCCACAAGGGTCAGGCCTGGGGCCGGTGCTGTTTCTGGTATATGTGAATGACTTGACGGAAGGGATAAATTCAGAGGTTTTCCTGCTTGCAGACGATGTGAAACTAATGCCGAGAATTCAAGTGGATGAGGATCAGGTCGAACTACAAAGGGATCTGGACAGACTGGTCCAACAATTGGCTCTGGAGTTTAACCCCACCAAGTGCAAAGTCATGAAGACTGGGGAAGGTCAAAGAAGACTGCAGAGTACAGGCTAGGGAGCCAAAGACTGCAAACTTCACTCAAAGAAAAGAATTGTGGGATGAGTATAATACCGAGCACATATGCTGCAGCATATGGGCGCCTGGCAAATCTAAGAATAGCGTTTCGACATCTTAGCAATGAATCGTTCACGACTCTGTACACCGTGTATGTCAGACCCATATTGGAGCATGCAGCACCAGTATGGATCCCACACCTGATCAAGCACGTCAAGAAATTAGAGAAAGTGCATAGGTTTGCAACAAGGCTAGCCCCGGAGCTAAGGGGTATGTTCTACGAGGAGAGGTTAAGGGAAATCGACCTGACGACATTGGAGGACAGGGGGATAGGGACAACATGATAACAACATATAAAATTCTGACAGGAATTGACAAAGGACAGGATGTTCCAGAGATGGGACACAGTAACAAGGGATCACAATTGGAAGCCGAAGACTTAGATGAGTCACAGAGATGTTAGGAAGCATTTCTTCAGTCACAGAGTTGTCAGGAAGGGAACAGTCTGGAGAGTTATACAGTGGAGGCAGGATCCATACATAGCTTAAGAAGAGTTATGATAAAGCTCATGGAGCAGGGAGAGTGGACCTAGTAGCTATGACTCGACCCCTACAACAACAATTACGTGAGTACACACACACACACACACACACACACACACACAGAGGAGCTATGACCCGACCCCTGCAACCACAATTAGGCGAGTACACACATGGACCTGTGTAGGATGGTGTGCAGAGGACTGCGTACCTTTTCCCAAGATTCGTAGGTTCGAGTCTCGGTCTGGGGTTAGTTTTTGTGAATATTTCGCTTGTTCTGTGAAGCCTAAATGTATGTACTCAAATAATTGTGGTTGCAGGGGTCGGAACTCAGCTCCTGGCCCCGCCTCTTCACTGATCGCTACTAGGTCGTCTCTCTCTCTGCTACCTGAGCTTTGTCATAGCTCGTCTTAAAGTTATGTATGGTTCCTGCCTCCACTTCATCACTTGCTCGACTATTCCACTTCCTGACAATTCTATGACTGAAGAAATACTTCCTAACACCCCTTTGACTCATCTGAGTCTTCAGCTTCCAATTGTGACCCCTTGTTTCTGTTTCCCCTCTCTGGAACATCCTGTCTCTGTCCACCTTGTCTATTCCATGCAGTATTTTGTATCATGTCTCCCCGACCCTCCTGTCTTCCAGTTTCGTCAGACTGCTTTCCCTCAACCTTTCTTCGTAGGACATTCCCCTGAGCTCCGGAACTAGCCTTGTTGCTAACATTTGCACTTTCTCTAATTTCTTGATGTGCTTGACCAGGTGTGGGTTCCAAACTGGTGCTGCATACTCCAGTATGGGCCTGACGTACACAGTTTACATTATCTTGAACGATTCCTAACTAAGGTATCGGAACGCTATTCTCAGGTTTGCCAGACGCCCATATGCTGCAGCAGTTATCTGGTCGTGTGCTTCCGGAGACGTGCTCGGTGTTATGCTCACCCCAAGATCTTTCTCCTTGAGTGAGGTTTGCAGTCTTTGGCCACCGAGCCTATACTCTGTCTG